AATAATAGAGGTCAACAATTCCAGATTTATAATAATAATTTTCCTTGGCACATATTCACTAGTACGTTACAATATTTAGAACGATGGAAACGTCTATTTTAACTATACGACCAAGCAGTTTTGAMAAAAATAGTATAATATTATTCAGTTAGGTACGCGTTATTATTTCCAAAAAGAATATCGTATTGCTAGCAAATATCAGCAATAACAAYATAACAATATAACAGCAATATAATACACAATAAATAAACAATCGAAAAGGTTATATATAATTTACTCTTTTGATCATCAAAATAAACATTAATATGATTTTATATTTAGAAACTAACGACTATAACAATAAAAGACTCGATAAAATAGAATTTCGCATTGACATGGATGGTCATTTGACCACATTTTAGGGAATAGGACCTTTTTTCTTTTTTTTCCAGCTCAAAAACCAGGAACGGGTGGGAACTGTTCATCGAGGGAATGCACTAAGGTACATTTCAATAGATGAATAAATTGTGTATTTTTCGTAGGACTTTAAAAATATTTGAGGAAGATTMGATTAGTKATCGCACATAATCAATGAACTTTAAAAAAAAACATAGTTCTTAAGTAAAAAATAAGTTTCAGGGGTCAAAATTATGTAGGTCCCCGGTCCCCGCTCTTTGAACGATCGGTCGCTTCCCGGACAAATAGTGAACAATTTAAAATAAATTTTAAATAATTGTGAATTCMATCCAACTCCATATTCTACGTTACAAAATCGACCAAAACAATATTATAAAATATAATATTATATCGTTGTAATAATATTTAGATGAACTTAAAGTTTCGTCGGTTATTGTATAGATATAGTTGTAGCTGATCATCACCGTTGCTATATGATTTTATGGTCTTAGGTAGGTATATGTGCGTGTTTAATGATAGATGCTAAAGGTCATTKATTATGTTCAAGTTAGTGTGGTAGGCGCATTTTGTTGATCGTTAAAGTTGCTTTATTACATATTTAAATAGTAAAATTATTCTTACGCCATTTTATTAAAAATAAAAACAAAACAAGTTTGACATTGAAAAACATTTGCTCAAAATTCAATTTATTGCATTTATTTCTATTATATTATTTTATACGCCCATTCTCTCTCGACGTATTTAAATGAAATATCTAATCAATTATGCACTTCCTATCATTTTCATCAGTAAGCAATATTGTGAAACTATTATAATATATCTTCCAAATAAACGAATCCTAAAATAAATTATAATACCTATGACATTTTATATACATTTAAATCGACAGATTGGCTTAGTTTAAATATTAAAATGTTTTTAAATGGTATATTTATGTAAAATCCAACATCATAATAATATAAATAATATAATATGCTATGTATACTACGATTAATACGTAAGTAGATATATTCGTTTTTATACTATTGTAATTTACAAAAATAATATAAAATAATATTATTTTTGTAAGTTTTTATGAAATATTACTATTCATATTATGAGTATTATTGTATAAAAAGTTACTAGCAAAAAAAAAAAATGCAAAGTCATAAACATTTAAGCTCTAACAATAACATTAAGAATCTTTCCTATTTCTGCATCCCAGCGATATGAGATAATGACACGGTAATTACGGAGAAATCATAAATAAAAAATAGTTTAAAACATAACTCACAAACAGCTATAATTTGATCAAAAGTTTTATTGATGTAGAACATTTTTATGTTTTCAAACGTAGCATAATATTATGATATTATTCTTAAGCAATTTGATATTCTAGAAAAAACACAGATTGAATATATTTGGTACACATACAAAGTTTGATTAAATTTACCGTAAAAATTCAACAGATAAAAATTATGTTAATGATAATATATTCTTGCCGGCTGCTTGTTTTCTAGCTATACRCTATAAATGATTTTTACATATAAATCATGGCACAAAAAAAATGTCTGGTCACCTGTGTATACAAAAACAAATAATTCTACAAACAGAGTCGATGAAACGCATGATGAGTCTTATGTATATAAGTACATTTAATATAAAATTTCAAAATTAACCAACACATGTTAAATAGGTATATAAGTACCTAATTAATTTTGAATTATGTTAAATTTCAATTAGAGATGTTTATTAAACGTCGGTGACGTAACACTTAATGTTACCTATCTGATATAATACGATGACGCGCAAAAATGTGAATATTTTCCTTTCGAGCGATCAATTCGCGTTCAACGCCTGAAAACCTTGGCCAATATTTTCACGAGGTAAACTATTTATCTTAATTTTARTCGAATTTTTCTTACTTATCATTTTCGGGTTGGTGGGTTGGTCACAAACTCGTAAATAAAATAATTTTCTCGACAATAATAGTTTCATGTCATAGGTATTTCGAGCAATAACATAACGTCCACATCCATTAATATTTACAACATTGTTCATCGCTATTTGCGCGATACATTGAAACTGTACCGCAAAATAATAAATTAGATTAAAAAAAAATTAATCAAATAATAATAATGATATATATAGTTAAACGATATAAGTGTCAAAAATATCGACAACAGAACCAACGGACTATAATATATGATTAAGTTTTTGTGGCATAGGTAGTCTCTAGAAATAATCGCTATAAATTACGCGAAAAGGGGTTAAGTTCTTTCTTACAGAGTATTCTGATGCTGGACAGACAYACAGCTAAAAATAGAAGCCTAAATATGGTCAGCTTCATATAYACTTCATGAAGTATTAAAATCCAAAACTACAATGATTGTCAGAATTATTCTGAAAATTGTAAAAATTTCTTTCTGTTAATTGTATTAATTATAAAATAATAATAATAATTCTCAAACATGAAAGGAGAAAGAGGTTWTAGTCTCAGACATTTTAGGACAATCATTTAAAAATACTTTTAGTGTTCTGTGATCTTATATTACTACGTCGTGGTGGCGTGTCCGGATGGTGGGCCTATATGTATCCAAACACACTCGGGACATGTTTCGATCGAAATTAAGTATATGTATTTAAATGTTTTTACTTTTTTTTTATTATAGGTATCATCATAATTTATAAAATTATGAACATTCTTGTCATCAATCTAAAATTTGTCGTGTACTTAAGTTTCGTAACCCATTAAAAAGTTATTAGCGAGATGATATTTTTCATTGACATATTATTATAGGTACAACGATAGTTAACAAAATAATACAATATTTGTACCTATTGTTCTATGTTACTATATTCTATGTTATATATCTTTATAATGTCATCGGCTCATCGCCATAGATATTAAACTATGATTAGATAAATCGTAATAATAACAATATTTTCATTAATATATAATTTTCAGATAGAATTTGCCAAAAAAAATTTTTAACCACCTCTTCGATAAAAAGTTCTGGATATGCCTATTGCTGTTTATCACTTTTTGCACATACTAATTCTTACTTAGTCTTTAAACAATTAAACACGTGTAACGATTGGTCATCATTAATTTTGTATACCTATTATCTACCTGTATTACCGATATACCAATAGGTAAATCAATTGAAACAACTGAAGATAGGGTGTGAAAAAGAGTCTATAACACTCCCAAGTTCTAATTTATTACCCCTTATTTTTTATGCCTAATTATTTTATTTTAGTGAAATAATATCAATTTTATATTTTGAGTTATGAAATATTTGCCAAAAAAATATTTAATTATTTTGGTCAATTTAACTCGTTATAAACTATTACCAAAATATTGATGGACTGTATTAGCATTACAATACATAATATTTCGGAAAAATGAAAATCTTATAAGCAATTTGTAGTCAATACTCAATAGGTCTCGTCAAAAAGCACTAAATACTAAAAAGATTTAATATGCTACGGTGGACTACTGGTAATCCCCATAAGTTCTATCAGCTAAATCTTAATATATTAATAGAAATACTCAGTAGTGCCTAGTATACATAAACATAATAAATATATACATACATATATTGTTTTTATCATTAATATGAAGCATGTCTTACATGTGTAGGTACTAGGTATCAAGTTTTAAAGTATTGATTATTGTAAATTTGTAACTTGTAAGATACCTAGTTTAAATTTAATAATAGCGGGTGTGAAGCTGTGGAGGCAAAGTCCCCACCCTCTTGCAGCTCTGTGAGACATTTACAATTTATTATAGCAGCTCACGTTTTAGAAGTCAAGTTGCGCCTATGGGTAAATCACTAAAACTACAACCAGAACCATTTGTCCTGYAACTTTTTGAGGATTCCACATTTCCACATCATCTACAATTTATCCATTAAATTTTTTTGCGCTTGACAAACTTCTTGAGACAGATTTCACAATAGCCTTACCAAATGTCGAACATACATAATATTATAGAAGACATTTATGTACGTCGTAGCGTTTTAATTTTTTACAAGACATTAAAAACTATTTTTTAGCCCAGAAAAAATAAATACTGTTTAACCTACTTATTAATATCAAAAAAAAAAAAACCACTACAACGCTGATAAAATCAACATCTATGACCTGTATAGTGTGAAAATTTGGTAAATCTACCGTAAATAATGCACCTACCAACTATCGTAGTAAGTCGTAAGTGTATCCAGGCTATCCAAAGCGAAACCATTTTTCTTTAACAACTCATTAGTCATTTTTACACATCAACCATAGTTGGTATTAACATGGAATCATTTTTTAAATTCTCTGAATAAGTATTTGAATATATTTATCATTTATGATTAAATACCTATTTTAATTATTCTCAGAATGTTATTAAAATTGCCTATCTTAAGCCCCTTAAAAAGCGAGTGTGTTATCCTCATAAGAACCAAAAAACTTAGATTTAGAAAAACCAGACCAGAACCTAAAACTCTGTTGAGGTTCCAAGCATTACATCCACGCGCTGTTGGACATTGATGTACCTATATATATTGTTATTAATTGTACAGCACTCACCAGTTTAACAGACGCATACCACATGGCTAACGGATTTCTTTTTTTAGGTTATTGCCATATTCACTCTGATCATGATTCTGACTAACGACATCAAAATACAGACGATCGTCATAGATTTCTTACCCAAATCTGTCGGTAAGTTTTTATTTTTTAAATAACTAACTAGTAACTACACCATCAAACCATAGTTAAAAAAAAAATTGTTTCCGTGTGTAATCAGTATGATTTATTTTGTCTACTTGTACGAAGTAAAAACACTTCTTTACGTGATCTCTGCGCTCTGCCATGTTCAAATGACTTTTATAAAATCATTTAAAATAATTATAATCATATTGGTTTTATTTTCAGTGCATATCATTGTAGCAATCAACCTGCTTATGACTATATTAATATCGTCTCTGCTTTTGGTCGGGATTTTTATGGTGAGTACGAGATGATGCAACAAAAAAAAAAAATAAAAATAAATATTCGCAGAATGTTTTCTCATCATGATGATTTTATTTCAGCGAAAGAAGATATTGATGCTTCCTTGGATAGTACTAACGATCATGTTATGCATTGGACTAGTCATATCTGTGATATACACTACTATTGATTTCTTGATTCATAAATTCTATTTCACTAGCATTGCGGTTCTAGTGATTGGTATGCTATGCGTGTGTAAGTATACTATGAATTAAGTTATAAAATTTACAAAGTTTCTTTTAATAATAATA